CCCTCTCAAGTGCCAGATGGCTAGTTGTAACCCAGGGGCTCTGGATGTTGAAGCAACTCCTGGCTGAGAGAGACCTTGTGCTGGGGAATCTGCCAAGGAGGGTTGATGGAGAGACTCACCAGGTCGACGAATGAGGTCCTTCTGGGCCAGTAGGGAGCCACGAGTAGAATTTCTGCCTCTTCCAACAGGATTTTCCGAATCACCCTGAGAAGAAGAGGCAATGGGGGGAACACGTACATCAGTCCCTATGGCTACAGACAGTGGAGAGCATTGATCCCCTTGGCTTGCAGGGTGTGGAACCTGGAGAAGAACCTAGGGGTGGCGAACAGGTCGACCTCTGAGACAATTGGTGGAACAGATCCGGGTGCAGGCACCACTCTGAGTGATCGACTGTGGCCCTGCTCAGGCAGTCCGCCTGATGTGAACCCCAGAGATAAGCTCCACTTGGATCGAGCACAGGTATCTTTCTGCGCATCTTCCCAGGTGCTCTGTCTCCTCCATCAGGGACCTGGAGTGAGTGCCCACCTGGCGGTTTATGTGTGCCTTTGTGGCCACATTGTCCATTAGGATTTTCACGTGACACCTCTTGATGTTATCTTGGAAGTGAACGAGTGAGAGCCGCTCTCAATTCTAACCAGTTGATGCTGTGGGACGCTTCAGGCATTCACCATCTGCCTTGCACAATCTGGTTGTGGAGATGAGCGTCCCAGCCGAATAGACTGGCATCCATCGTGATGGTGAGATGGTCTGGCTCTTTGAAGAGGGTGCCCTTTGCCAGCGTGTGGGACAGTCACCACTGGAAGGACTGACATACCTTTGGTGAGACTGAACCAGGTCTTGCACTGCTTGTTGCTGTGACGATGACTGAATGAGAACGTTGTCCAGGTTGCAATGCAGGCTCACCAGGTGAGATCTCAGGAAAGCCACCACTGCAGCTAGGATCTTTGTGAAGGTCCAAGGTGCCGAGGACAGGCTGAATGGCAGAGCCCTGCACTGATAGTGGTGGCCTGCATAAAAGAATCTCAGGAACCTGCTGTGAGCTTTGCGAATGGGATGTGGAGGTAGGCCTCCTTGAGATCTATGGATGTTAAGAGATCTCCCGGCCTGATGCAACCCAGAATTGACTGAAGGGACTGTATCTTGAACCTCCAGTATGCTATATGATGGTTTAGTTTTTTTAGATCAAGGATCCCCCTCCACCCCCCAGAATTCTTTGGGACAAGAAAGAACCCTGTCCTTTCCTGACCTGGTGGAATCGGTTCTATGGCGTTTATGTCTCTGAAGTGAAGGATCTCCTGTTCCATGAGAGCCCTCTTGAATGGACAGGAGGGGGTTGGACACTGGACGAAGTATCGGGGGGGGGAATGAACTCTAACATTAGACCTATGCGTATCGTCTGAAGGACCTACTGGTCTGACATGATCTGCTCCCATTGGGCGTGGAACATTTGGAGACACCTTCCTATGGGAGCCGTCTGCTGATGGTCATTTATAACATTTGAAGGTTCTGGAACTGGACCCTCCACGACGTTTAGAGAAGGACTGTTGACGGTTTCTGTCACAAAAGGGCTGACAATCCTGAGACCTATCTGTGCCTTGAGAATAGGGACGTTGGAAGGAACTGGAGGTAGATGGCTGCTCCAAGTTCTGAAAGGGCTGCCTCCTATAAGTCTGGGAACCCTTGCGGTCAGAGTTTTTGTTGACTGAAGGCATGACCTTCTTTTTGTCCTTATTTTCAACAAGGACAGGATCTAGGGTCTCCCCCAAAAGCTTGCCGCCCTTAAAGGGAGCCGAGGTGAGCTTCCACTTGGAGTGCATATCCGCATTCCAATGCCTGAGCCATAAGAGGCACCTGATGGTGACATTAGAGTCCAGGGATCTAGAGGCAAACTTAGCAGCATTCAGGGTGGCGTCAGCAGTGTACTCTGTTGCTGCGATAATTTTGTTAACATCCTGCCTTAATTTGGTATCCCCAGCCGGGACCTTGGCGAGGAGCTGTCTCAGCCAGAGTAGTGCCACCCTGTAAAGAAAGGATGCAGAAGCGGACGTTTTAATGGCCCAAGCCACCGCCTGATGAGTCTTGTGGCAGGCCTTCTTGGCCCCTTTTGTCCTCCGCCTTGAGCCCTTCTAATAGTTCAAGGGGGAACACTGAATTGGAAGTGAGCACTGCCACAGGCGCGTCCACGGGAGACAATTTCAATAAGTCTTCTAGACTTGGATCAACCTGTACAATTTCTGATGGCATCTCTGTCTAGGGCCGAACTCTGCTTAATCCCCTGCCTAGAGTAAGGCTTGCTTGCTCTGATGGCCTCCCTGGCTGCCTTGCCAGCCTGTCTGGTACAGGCCCTGCTGATGGAGGGACCAATCTGTTGTTCCTAATCTGCCATGATTGAATGTGGGGATGTAAGACCTGGAAGGTAACTTTCCCCTACTCACCACCTCAGATGAACCTGGCCTTAGCGCTCTGGTGCAGAGGCACTGAAGGCAGGAGCAAGCAAAGCTCAGCAGTCCTTTGATTAGTGAAGGAGAATGATGTGAGCTCCAAGCTCCCAGCACCCACACAAGTCAATTAATGTGGCGCGACCATGTGGGCCACAATCCTCAGCTGCCACCTTCTATCATAATAGTGGAGCTGTGAATTGGCAACCTGCAAGAGACAGGCAGTCAGGCGGCTGTAGCTGCCTTTCGCAGCAAAAGTAGGTCAACAAAATGGCGGCCGGAACCTTGACCCTCTCAAAATGGCCACCGCCACATGCAACCCACTTAAAATGGCCACCTACATACAACAGAGAGCTCTGAGGCTCCGTGCCAACAGGCGGCTCACTCAAAAGCATGGTCAATAGCAATGGATGTCCCAGCGGGGTTAAGACTGCAGCAGGATTGCTGCAATCGCGCTGGCGCACCTTCCCCAACAGCAGCCTGCAGCCTCACAGTGCCCGAGCGAACCCAGGACACCGGAGAGGCTGAAATTGGTGAGAACCAGGGAATTAGGGTAAAAGGAAAACTCACCAAGCCTGCTCCAATAATCAGGAATAAGAAGATAAATTTTGTAGTAAAGTAGAAAAATAGAGAGTCCAAGCAATCACTTAGGAATGAAGAGAAATTGGAAGCGCGTCCACTGGGCTAGCTGAATTGAAAAAATCTGAGGATTAGTCAGCACCAGAGGCAGGGCTTAAAGTTTCAATTCAGTCCTGGGCAGATTGGCTGCATTTAACCCATGTTTGGACTCTCCAGAGCAGCACCCAGGAAATTGCTGTTTTTCCCCTTACCGTAGAGCTATTTTTAAATAGTAAAAGTAGCATGATGGCAAATTAAGTTGTTTGCATCTATCTGTAACAGTGGTGGGTTGCAGACAGTATGCCCCGGTACGTGTGTACCGGAGCCAGTCTGGAGCACCGGATACCGTTCCGGTATGGTGCTCCGGGGGCCCACCCACCTACCTGAGCTCCTTACCGGAGTTTAAAGGCTTTTGCGCTTCCGCGCAGGCGCATGGTACATACAGCACCTGCGCAACGCTCTGCGGAGCAGCTGGACTGTTGTGGAGCGTTGCAGAGGCACTTGAACTCATGTACATGCTGCGCATGTCCATGAAAACCCTGCCGGCCCCGTTCCAACCATACCGGTTGGAACAGGATTTGCAACCCAACACTGATCTGTAATGTTTTTTATGGAAACCTATTCCTGAAAATGTGACTTACTATAAGGAGGATGACATTTTCAAGGTTAAGAAGTTTGTTTGCTCTGGTAGATTATTTCAGGCTTAGTCACTTATTCCATTTATATTAATGATGCCTTCATTGATTCTTATGCACTCATAATTCCACGCAATTACCATTACCAAACTGATGTTATGAATTTTAATTCTGATGATATCTGGACAGAGCATTCATAATGGTTTGGGTTTGAAACAATCCAATCAAATGTAAAATCTAGTACGTGTGCCTGCTTACAATTTAGCAAACATTTCTCAAGAGTCTCAATACATCCTTATTTTCATTAGAGTTGACAGTCTAGCAGTGAATCTCCTTTGACGGGAAAGGAGATAGTAATAAGATAATGGCATCATGAACTACAAACACACATGTGCACAACACACCTAAAAGTGAATCCAAACTCATTTTACAGCCTTTTGCATCAATTGATCCAAGTATATGGCTAATCTTAGCACCTGACTGAGTGGCAAGCTAAACAAAATCTTATTTTAAGTCCCTCCTGATATAGATTCCATATTTTTGGGAGGCCATTTAATTGGTTATAGTGCTAGCTAGAGGTAGCAATGGAGTCACTGGCTGGTAATCTGGAAGTTGTTATCAAGCATGAAGTCTCAACATTATCTGATATTTCTTCTGATGCAATGTTAGAAACTGACCAAGTGGCATTGGTTAGAAACAAGCCACATGGACAAAAAAACGTGAAGGGGATTCCAAATTAATAACGTTATTGCCTGTTTTTCCTCCCATTAATGTTTATTTTGAAAACAATGTTTGAAGACTGATAAGCACACTTAAATGCTGATCAGCATAATTATCATTTCAAATTAAAGGACATTTTAAAGGACTAGTAACCCTCCTGGAGGGGGAGGGGGAACCCTCTACCAAGTATTCTACAATGACTAAACTTGATTCTGTCTTCAGTCTCCCATGAAGTAAGGATCAATTTTCACACCAGTGGCTTATCCAAACTGACTCATTGCAATGTCTCAATGATTTCATGCAAAAGTTATAAAAAGAGTTCTTAACATGGGATGAGAAGGAATGATAACAGGTGGCTACAGGTAAACCTTTTTTAAACAGAGCGATGCTAATACTTCACTTTAGCTACAATATTTTTTTCATTATGTTGGTTGACAGTGACACATTAAGGAAAGCATTAGTGACTCTTAGTACATTTCATGCTTCATGCCAAAATCTCCAACCAACCCAGCCACATGAATACCCCCAAATCACAAACACTACATGATGGACAGCAAGACAAGATATAAAATTCTCAACTCATTCTTACATTCTCCAAAACTCGTGGAATTGATTTCTCTTTCTCTTTCACCCTTGCTCAGTCCAGTCGTAGGCGAAGGTGACATAGCTGTGAATATTAATTTTAACATTTTGCAAAGCTTAATGAAATCCATTTTTTGTTGGTTCAATTCAATTTCGCATCTGTTTTTATACCTATCACGAAACCCCCAAAGTTACAGCTCCCAAGCATTACAACAGACCAACCAATTTTAATAGCTCTATCTAGAGCTGGAAAATTTGAAATTGGAATAATTGGATCAAAATATAAGATACAAACATGTTCTAACCAGGTTTTAGAAAAAAGAAGTAAGAAGCATTTCTTGCTTTTGACAACATGAATTCCTAAAGGGTTAGAAAGCAAAATCTACAGCAAATTACATTTAATGGTTTTCAATAAAATATTGATTTATCGTACCCTTTTAAAATGAGAGGTACCCAGAAGGAGGAGGAAGTTGAATAAAACCTTGCCTTGTGCTGTTTTAGAACTCCTGCTGCAATAAAACATTTTTGCAACTTTTTATTATAATGAATACTTATTACTTGTACAGGAAGTAATGCTACCAGCGTAGCTTTTGATATTAATATACATGTAGGCCCACCTGATACAGACATCAGTTTCCCAAATTATGAATAAAGCTGTGGTGACATCAATTATATAAACTCCTATGAGAAATTTCAATTAATCTGAAAACCAATGAAGAGTTCAAGGAGCACTAGCCTAATAACAGACATATTTAGGTCCTTACATACTCAATGTGTAGTCCTCAATGGAACTACAGTACATCTTCCGTAAGGCATTTGATAAAGTACGACCACAACATGCTACTTGATAAGATAGAAAAAATACGGGTTAGACAGGATCACCACCAGATGGATTCATAACTGATCAACCACACACAATGTATAGTTCCCAATGGTATATTTCTCATCTACAGTATACAGAGGGAAGTATGCAGTGGGGTATCCCAAGGTTCTGTCTTTGGCCCAGTACTCTTCATATCTTCATCAATGATTTAGATGATAGGATAGAAGAGGAACATCTAATTTGCGGATGACACAAGCTGGCAGAAATAGAACATAGTCCAGAACATAGACTTAAGATACAGAAAGATCTTGACACAAATGGAGTATTGGGCGCTATCTAACAAAATGGAATTCAATGGTGAAAAAAAGTAAGGTTTTACATTTAGGCAAGAAAAATCAAATGCACAGGTATAGTATAGGTAGTATCTGGTTCAATAGTAGCAAATGGGAGAGGGATCTTGGAGTCTTAGTGGACAATCAAATATGAGCCAGCAGTGTGCTGCAGCTGCCAAAAAAGCCAACATGGTTCTAGGCTGCACTAACAGGGGGTAGAATCAAGATCACATGAAATATTATTACAACTTCATAATGTCTTGGTATAGTGTTGGGCACTGCAATTCACTATTCTATCCAAAGTTTTGAATAAAAAAGTCTGGATTCAAAATGAATGTGAAAATGAACACTTTCTGCAGTTTTATCTCTAGGTCTGTAGCAAGCATGGACCAGATCCTACAGCAAGTTAAGACCATTGTCCATGCCTTAAAGCCTACCAAGTTATGCAGTCCAAATTCTGGGGCGAAATCTGACTTTTCTTTGATAGCTTAAAACTGTCAAATTTCCTTTTGGAGAAATAACGCACCTCTTTTGCTCAAAAAAACCAAAACCAATCTTAAAGCTTTATTTCTTTTCTATTTTTTTTAAAAGTTCAAACGTTGCCTTTGTCCTTTCTAGTTACATTCCCACACGAATGGTCGTACCCCTCAGAAGTTGGACACTTGTACAAATAGGGTAACACTAATTCTAGGATTTTCAAATAGGATACAGGTAGTCTTCGACTTAAAATCATTCATAAGAGCCAGGGTGGCACAGTGGTTAGAATGCAGTACTGCCTGCTATTTCTGCTGACTACTGGCTGCCTGCAATTAGGCAGTTCGAATNCATCTCCATTTCAAAGCGAAGACCCAGTGCTGTTGTAGACGTCTCTGTGGTCATGTGGCCAGCATGACTAAACACCGAAGGCGCACGGAATGCTGTTCCCTTCCCACCAAAGGTGGTTCCTATTTTTCTACTTGCATTTTTTACGTGCTTTCGAACTGCTAGGTTGGTAGAAGCTGGGACAAGGAACGGGAGCTCACTCCACTACGTGCAGCTAGGGATTCGAACCACCGAACTGCCGATCTTTCAGACCGACAAGCTCAGCGTCTTAGCCACTGAGCCACCGTGTCCCTGTTTAAGAAAGTAGCTGAGGTTAATTTGGGTTTTTCACGTTTGTTTTCTTCCCCGTTATTTAAAGACGTACAGAAATTATACTGCTTAAACCAGGAATGAAAGTTGAATTCATGAAACATACAATAAAAACAAATAATGTACTGTTTTTGATTGCTTGTTTTACGTTTTAAAGTACCTTCCAATTTTGCTTATCTTCTCAGCTCTGGAGACCCACAAGCGGAAAAATACATTGCAGAAAGTAAATGTTCAGTAAGTGAGGCATGCTTTGCCTTTTTTTTTTCCCCCTGTAGGGAAAATTTATGAATTTGTGTCCTAAAGGTGCTATTTCCCCAAAAGGCAACTGGACTTTCTTGAAGAATTCTCATCCACGAAGTTTCTTCAGTTCCCCAGAACAAGGATATGCCTGAGGAATGTTTTCCCTTTTCTTTTATTCAGTCTGATCGATGTTCCAGAAAAGAAAAAATCATTCAGACTAAGGGCTGATGAATTAGCACATCAAAAGAACAAAGTTAAAACAAAACAAACATGATTTCTTAAATTCAGAAGTTTGATAGGAGGGAAATAATTTTAAGCTTTCCTAAAATGCAGATGTTAAATAACAGAATAACAGAGTTTGGCAGGGACCTTGAAGATCTTCTAGTCTAACCCCCTGCTCTGGCAGGAACCCTTATACCCTTTCAGATAGATTGTTATCCAATCTTTTTTTTTAAAAAAAACTTAAGTTTTGGAGTATCCGCAACTTCTGTAGACAAGCCGTTCTAATTGTTCCAATGATCAGGAAATGTTATATTTAACTATTACTGTGTAACATTCTTAGATCAACAAGATGCTTATGGTTAAAAGAAATAATAATGCACTGACGTTAAGTTGCGAAATTGTCAGAAGAAGGCTTGGGGTTTTTTTGTTTTGTGGGAGAGTAGTGATACTTGCAGATTTTTTGCATGCTTGCTGTGGTCCAGCTATTCATCTGGACTTCGGTTTTCTCAATTCCTAGCCATGTAACCAACAGCATTCGTCGGTGCTGGTTTAGACAGGTCCCTGTAAAGTGACTTCTTAATTTCTTTTTAATATAAACTAACTGGCATTGTGGGTGGATCAGAAATGCTGTGAATGTTTTCTTAAGCAAAACGTGGGGGGGTGCTCATTGAAAATCTTCTCTCCTGGTTCAGCTAACCTGAGGAATACTTGGTGTTGATTTTTCTGCAGGTCACCGAAAAGAACGGAAAACTTGCTTATGAAATAGAGGGCAAATTTGTTTCTCCAGAAGATGTTGCAAAGTTAATCTTCAGGAAAATGAAAGGTAAAGGTATTCAATTGGGGTGGTGGAGTTAAGTTCTGGGAAACGAACTAGCTTTTACTGACTATGCCGTTCTGTGTTTCTCTAGAAACTGCTCAATTCGCGTTGGGTTCGGATGTGAACGACACTGTGATTACGGTGCCTTTTGATTTCGGAGAGAAGCAGAAAAAGGTTCTTGGGTGAGTGGGGGGGTCCCTGAATACATTTTCTGGAGTTAGTTGAGGTCAGATCTTGTGGACAGAGCATTTCGCCTGGATCAGGCATCCTGTTGAAACCCCGGCTCATTGGCCACACAAAACGTCAAGAGGTGGACACTTCAGTTTCTCTTGTTTGCATTTTTGGGAACAGAAGTCACAAATAAACAGTGACAGATCATCTCGAATTTTTTTCATGGAAAAAAACAGGCCAAGCTGGAAGAAATTGTAGCTATCAGTTTACCAGTACGAGCTACCCTGTTACTGTTTTTCTCTAGGACGTGTTTTTTCTAAAAAAGACACTCGCACAAAAACACTGCTGGGCTATCACTTTCAAATACTGAAACTGCATTAAAACACCAATTCACATTTTCATCTATTGCTAAAACAACAACTCCGTATTTGGCGTTTAAATACTGCTGCTATTGGAGTGGTTTATCGCATTACCGAAATACAAATATATTGAAAGTTGATGCAAATTTGAAATGTCCTGAATTTGATGCAGAAGTGAATATAAACCCAAACTTCATACTGCGCTGCTCTTTTTCCGTTACAAGTTGATGTAACTTAATAAAATATCCCGTTAATTGCATATTATTGCAGCATGGGTGGTACTAAGACAACTTATGTTCTGACCTCCCTCCTCCGTCCAGGAACGAAAGCNGGGGTTGCTGCAGTCATAAGTGGAAAATATGTTTTGCAATTCGCTCTCTTATCTCTTTATCTGACTGGAACAGGGGTGTCCAAACTTGGCAACTTTTTAAGACTTGTGGATTTGGGGAATTCTGGGAGTCGAAGTCCACCATCTTAAAAATGTAACCCAGGTTGAAAAACCCTACTTAGCACGTCTGCAAAGGTGAGTCAGTCTGTATTTGCAACTGTGCAGGAAGCAACGGCGGAGGGTTTTCGTGGGGGGGGGGTTAATTTTTTTTTAAAAAAAGAATAAAAACATATGCAAAAGTCCACAACTCCAGGCAGTTTGCAGGAAAACGGCCGGTCTTCCAGCTCAGAGACTCAGAAGGTGCATTCTGCATGCAAGCCAGGCATGCTGGAATTCACAGCAGGCTAATTATAGCAGCCTAAAAAGGGAGCTCATTTTGCACGCGGGTTGCAACACACACACCCCTGTGGCCCCCTTTCCTCACCTTCGCACCGCGCTTCGGAGGCGGAAGGCCTAGCCCCGGGGCTTAAACAGAGCGCCGCCACCAGCAGGGCTGCTAAAACGCAGCCTTGCAACGGCCCTGGACGCGCCATGCTTGCAAAAGGCAATTCCCCCTTGCAATAACCAGCCAAAATCTGCCCCGGTTGCTAGGTGGAATGACGTCACGCCAGGCCTTTTGTTTTTGATTGGCCGCGCGGCGCCTGGGAAAAGAAGAGGCGGAGATGATGATGATCATGATGATGATAATAGGGCGGCGCTCCCGGTGCATTGTGGGTAGGCGAGGAGCAGCCAAGATGGCGGCGATCGGCATCCACTTGGGGAGCAGCTGCGCCTGCGCGGCCGTTTATAAGGCGAGGAGGGGGCGCAGGGCGGCGGGGGCCCTGGGTTTTACTGGGGAGGGGTCGCTTTTTCCCCCTAAAATGAGACGAAATGGGGATAAAGCCCGCTTTGGGAGAAAAAGGGGGGTCCTGGGAGCAAAGGGACCCTGAGATGCTAGCTTTCTACGCCAGGGGGCAGGGAGAGGGGAGGGTTGAGGGGGTCTTCTTCCTTTTTTTGGGGGGGGGGTCCGTGGCTCCCCTGCATCAAAGTCAATGGAGGGGGCATCATTTGTAAAAAAAGAAGGGCGGGGTTAGGCTGAGATGCTAGCTTTCTGCTTCCAAGCGGGGGTGTTTTTTTTTGCAAGGGGGGTGGGCTAAGGTTGCATTTTGATGCTCTGGGTGGGGGGCTTGGACTTATGAGGTCTAATGCAAAAGTTTGGAAGGGGGTTCAAAAGTTTTTTAGGTTTTTTTTATTTTTGCAATTGTTTGGAGGGGTGGGGGGGTAATTTGCACCACTTTGGTGAATTGTTCCCATTTTTGCAACAATTCCATGCACACACACACACACTTTAAAAAATCAAAAGCAGAAAAACCATAAAATAGCAACTCATAAAGTGTCTGTCCCTGGGAGATGGTTTGTAATGTGATCCAGCCTTTTTAGGGAAGGGCTGCTTATTGGGGTTTGAATGAGCCTGGAAAGTTTTCCAAGCTTTTGATGTGGAAGCAACTTTCCTTTCATCCTTCAGCACCTCGGAAGCTGCTTATCTTATTTTAAAAATAAAATTAGGCCAATATTAGGAAAAAGGATTGATTTCTCCAGGGGTTTCTTATGTGTAATACGCCTTCCGGGGGGGGGGGGAATAATCCAGTTGTTACAAAAAAAGCCTCTTAATAATTAACATAAACCATTTTGTTATGATTGACAAATGGTGAGCATTTGATTGAATTATTAATCGACAGGATGCTACCTTGGCGTATCTGAACTCATTGAGTTTATTTCAGATAACTGTAGGGTGTTATAAGTACTGATTGAATTGCAAAGTTGGCTTATTACATTTGAATCCGGTTGGTTTATAAGGAAAGGATTTCTTTCTGTCTCCCTCCCCCAAGTGAAGAAAATCAGTCACAGTATCTTTTTGAACAGAGATCTAAATTTGTGGCCTAATATCTTTTAAAAATAATAATAAAACATAGATCTATCACTGAGCTTTCCTTTATAAGTTTATAAAACATAAGGCCCTTGGTAAAACATAAGTCTTAGTAAGTGTGCTTGCGTCTTGTAGGATGGCCGTGCAGATGTTGTGGCAAATGATGCTGGGGACCGAGTAACTCCTGCTGTTGTTGCCTTTTCTGAAAAGGAAGAGGTAAATTTCCTTTTTTGTTAAAACACTTCAAGCCAAAGTTATGTATTTTTTTTTCCTTTTAAAAAAACCTGCCCTCAAATACTTTTCTTAGGTCGTTGGTCTGGCAGCAAAACAAAACTGGGTGAGAAATCTCTCAAATACTGTAGTGAAAGTGAAACAGATTCTTGGAAGAAGGTATGTAATTCCTTAAAATGCTACAAAATATGCTTTTAAAGCTTTCTGTGTACTCCATTAGTGTGCGTCTGAATAAATTGCTTCCTTTTAAAATGTAATTATTAACTGGTCTGATTTGGCTGTACTTGTAAACTCAACTCCCAGCGCTGGTAAAGGTTCCTCTTGCACATCTGTGCTAGTCGTTCCCGACTCCAGGTGGGGCTGCTTATCTCCATTTCAAAGCGAAGACCCAGTGCTGTTGTAGACGTCTCTGTGGTCATGTGGCCAGCATGACTAAACACCGAAGGCGCACGGAATGCTGTTCCCTTCCCACCAAAGGTGGTTCCTAT